TCCCTACAGCTGCAGCCCCTATCATAACTCCTCCAGGGAATGGAGGTGCCAGGGACACTCTAGAGGCAATCAGGTCCCCGGGAAGTGGGCATGGGTGAAATTGCTGTGGTTCAGTTATTTATCAGTCGTGTTTGACTCTCTGTGACTCCATTTGGGGTTTTCTTGGCAGAAATACTTTGCTATTTCCTTCTCCAGCTCATTTCATAGATGAGAAAACTGAGGCAAATAGGGTTAATTGACTTGCCCAGGGTCACACAGCTAGGAAGTGCCTGAGGCCAGATTTGAACTCAGGAAGATAAGTCTTCCTGACTCCAGGCCCCACACTCCACCTAGTTGCCTGCAATGGACAAAACACAGCCTGCTTATCCAGGCCCCCAGCCCTGGTCTTCTGGGGAGGTGAGAGTGGGCCTTGGGCCTTTCTATTGCAAATAATTCCTATAATAAGGGAAGAGAAGGTGACTGGACAAATGGCAATGATTTCACAAAAGTCCTCCCAGTAGAAAAGGGAGAGAGATTATAGTGGTCTCCAGATGCTGTTGTAAAAATTCTAAATGTTTGCACATCACCCAGGCGCCTTGGGCTGGTTCTGTCAGGTTTTCTTTTTCCCTGAGTAAATGCATGACTTTGTGAGAAGATTGTTTCATATAAAATGAACCATAAAATGGTGTGAAAAGACACGGGGACATTTTGCCAGGCCATTGCAATGATGGCTGGAGGGGGCTGCCTCACTGAGAGTGGACCCAGCTCCCTTATTTAAGCCCTAAACCAGACGCGGCTTCAGAGAGCCCCCCAGGAGGTTTGGTCCCACTTTCTACTGCCCAGGCCCCTTCTGGGCACAGGAACAGATTCCCTAAACTGGGAATCCTGATGCAGTAGTATGGTGTGATCATGGGTCAGTCATTGCCTCTTTCTTGGTCTCAGCTTTGCCATCTGGAGGATGTGGAGATGTCTATGTAAATATGTGTATGGCTGCATAGATGTATCCTCATGCATGTACATGATCCCAGCCCATGTACACATGTGCACCTGTCCCCTCTCAGGGGATGTGGATGTGTGCTCACATGTATGTGTATGGTTATATACACATGTGTGTTGAAGTCTATCAGTGTGTGCATGGCTCTGTGGGCACAAGTATGACCCCACTCTTCTCAACCAACAGCAGGCTGGAGAGGTGACAGATACAGCCTTCTTATTGGGGGAGGAGGTTTATGGTCATTTGATACAGAAGATAAGGGTCTGCACAACTGCAGTGACGCCTCCATCCATCGATGCCCACTGATCTATCAGATAGCTGGGCAAGACTCCCTTTCCTACCTGCATGAGTTATGACTCCTTAGTGACAGAGGATCTTGGGCGCCTGGCTGAGAGCTGAGAGCCCTCTCCATGGCACTGGACTAGGCAGATGAGAGCTGCTTTGCTCTGGCTTTGTTGGCAGAGTGGGGCCCTTAGCACCCCTCTGTCCATCTCCCAGCCTCCATGTCAGGATGGTCTGACTGTGAAGTTACATGGCAGGGCTGTTAACAGCCTCTATTTGGTTAGTTGTTGGTGGGACTGGAGTAGCCAAGGGGAAAGGGCTTTACTTAACCCACCAAGGGCAGAGAACAGGAAGATGGGGAAACTGAAAGTTTAGTGGGGGATAATGAGCTGTCTAGCTATCCTCAGGGTTCAAGTCCTAGCTGTTCCCTATCCAAGAAAGTCCCACAGAGCATGGGCCTTGAGGGGAATGCTAGGATCAGCACTAGAGAAGAAAGGGGAGTTGTGGTCTTAGGATGGCGGCAAGATTTTTCGGGGGTAGAATTATAAGGATGCTCCCCAGTGACAGAGGCCAGAGGCATCAGCAGGTCCCTATTTTCCTTCCCATTTTCTTCACTTCTTTTCTCCCTTATCCAACATTATTCTGGAGACATGTCCAATCTGGAGATTGGACCTTTTCATGCTGGGATTTTGGGGAAAAATCTTTCTCTACTGATGCATCTCCCACCCTGGCCTCTGCTTAAAACTCCAGCTCCTCCAACCGTACCCCTGGAATTACTCCAGAATAGCAAAGGCAGAGCATCTTGCAGCATCTTGGAGGCTCACCACCCAGCAGAAGGATGGGATGCTCTGAGAAACAGTAGTCTGAGGGCTCAGAGGAATCTTTTCAGCAGAGGGGCAAAGAAGCAACAGGGACATGAGCTCCTGAACGCTGGCTTGTTGGACTGGAGATTCCTGGGGACCAGGCATTCAGGTTCAGGTTGTTGGGAGTTCCAAGAGGACAGGAAATGATTACTCCTATTTAATCTTTACAGCTCCCCAAGGACCAAGCACAGTTCTGAATATGGAAGCCACTTCAAAAATGTTTGTGAGTATGCCCAGTGACTACAGTAATGTAAATGGAAAGAAGCAGCAAATGATGCTGAGTACTGGTTAAGTATAATGGCCAAGCTTGGCTTCACAGATGAGTTGAGAACATGCATCTTCCTCCCTTCTTTGCAAGGTGGTGGTGGTGGTGGGGATTGGGGACTGGGGGGAAGGGCGATGGTATTTGGCAGTGGGCAATGATTATGGGTGTGGAATCTTGCATAGATTTTCAGACATGGTTGATGTGTTAGTTGGTTTTGCTGAATTCTTCCCCTCCTCCATCTCCCTTTTAAAAATCTTTGTTAAGAGAAATGGTTCTCTAGATAGGGGAGATGGAAGGGACGTGTCTGGGGATGAATGTGATGAGCCAACACAAAGCATCATAAACATTTGAAAATGTTTGTTGGAGTTAAAGTTGTAGCCAGGTTTCTGAGACTGCAGCTGACTCCCCACCCTCACTCCCTCACCCCTGTCCCCTCATCCACTGCCCCCATTTTGTTTTATTTACCCAGAATGTTAGAACTTCCAGGGATTTAGGAGTGGGAGTGGAGAGCAACATAAGTGAAAGGGATGGTGACAGTGGCTGAGGGGGCTTCCAATGCAGGGGACAGACTCCACACTGACCACCTGGGAGGTTGGTCAGTAAGTAAGCATTGCTTCGTGAGTACCAGGCTTCCTCTGGACCTTGCTAAGTGCTGGGATACAAAGAAAGGCCAGAACATGGTCCATGACCTCAAGGAGCTGATTTTGTCTCCCCTGAGGTGTTTAGTGCTGGGGTTCCTTAGTATAAGAGCAGTTAGGTAGTACAGAAGATAAAGCACTGAACTTGGAGGCAGGAAGACCAGAGTTCAATACAGCCTCAGATACTTACTAGCAGTATGACTCTGGGTAAGTCACTTAATCTCTGCCTCAGTTTCCTTATCTGTAAAATGGAGATAGCGATAGCACCTACCTTCCAGGGTTGTTGTGAGGATAAAATGAGATGATATCTGTGAAGTGTTTTGCAAACCACAAAGTACTATATAAATGATCATTATTGTTGTTTTCAGACAAACTCAGGACTTGATACTACAAAGGGAGGATTTCAGGGAGTGAATACTTCATTCAAGGTAGGAGGTGGGAGAACAGTCCTTGGGCTTTTAGCTCTCCAGCTCCCAACGTCTGGTTTTTAGAACTGAGTTGCGAGTTCCTGGTTTCCTAACTATGGGAAATGAGTATGCCTTTTCCTCTGGCTGACTTCCTCCTTCTAGTTTTTCTTTCCCCTCCCCATAAAGAAGGCTTCAGAGCCAACCCATTGCTCCTTGACTACACAAAGAGATTGTGATGGTGGTGGTGAAGGTTCATGCAGAACGTCATACATTCATGTAGGACTGGTCCATGCGGCCATTGATTTCAGCAAAAGGGTGTGGTTGAGGAAGGCTAGGCTGGTTTGGCTTTGCTGAAGAGAGGTAATCTAGTCCCTGGGAAATCCCTTTCCTCATCTTGGATTACTCTCTCCCCCCTCCCACAGAGGAAGGAAGGGAAGAAGACAGAGGCTAGACAGGTCTAGATGGTAGGGATGGAGATGAGAATTGTGGGGAGGGGGAGGGTGGAAAGCTGCAGCCTGGGTGCCCCTGCCTGTGTTATCGTATCCATTTTCCAGTGGCAACGATGTGTGAAATGAAAATTGGACAGAGTTGGCTGCTCCCTGCTCAGAGGGCTGGGATATCATAGAGGGAGAAGGGGACAGAGAGAGGGAGAAGAAGACAAAGGGGAGGAGGGGACGAAGAGGGAGGAAGAAAGAATGAGAGAAAAAGAGACAGTGAAATAGTGAGAGGGAGACAGAGAGAATGAAAGCAAAGGAAAGAGAATGAAAAGGAAGAGGGAAGGAGAGAGAGGGAGAGGAAAGAAGAAAGAATGAGAGAAAAGGAGGGGAAGAAGATAAGGAGGGACAAAATGAGAAGGGAAGGAAGGAAAGAGGGGTCAAATAAAAGATGAACAAGAGAATATGGAAGAAGAGGGAGATAGAGAAAGAAAAGGAGCAGGAGAGAGAAAAAAGAGAGGAAGAGCACTTAAATGCTTGTTGAATAGAGGAGGAATAGCGTGAAAGACAAGGAGAGAGGAAGAGGGAGGGAGAGAATAAGAGAGAGAGAAAGAAGTTAGGCAAAGGAGGGAAAGAGTGAGGGGGTAGAGGGAGAGAACAAAGAAGAGAAAATGAAAGGGGGAAAGAATAGGAGATGGAAAAGGAGAGAGGAAAGACGAAAGGTGAGAGGAGAGCCAGAAAAAGGAATGGGAATAAGAGGTGAGTAGACTTTAGGCAATAATGTATGTTGAATGAATTGAACTGAATTGAGAAGGGAGGTGGAGAGAATGAGAGATAGAAAGAGAGGAGGGAAGAAAGAGAAAAGTAGAAGGAAAAAAGGGAGGAAGAGAGAAGGAGTGAAAAGAAGGAAGAAGTCGGCAAAACAAAGGAAGAAGTAAATGGATTAAGTGTAGATGACAAAGTGGGGAGAAGGGGAGAAAGAGAGAGAGAAAGAGGGTTGGGGGGGTTGTGCTGCTGCTTCCAGGATAAGAGGCAAAGAATCAGATAAGATATGAGGGGCTGAGCCCAACCCTGGGCCTCAGTATGGTTGGACAGGCCCCTCATACTCCCCATCCACCCCCGAGTGCCCCACACTCACCAGGGTCTCCGGCGAACATCATACAGGTCAATCTTTTTTGGTGCTCTCCAAGGGGTAGCTGTGGAGCAGTGTGGAACAGAAAGAGGCTGAGTACTTGGCTTTGGGGTAGGGTCATGAGCCAATGAGATGTGGTGGGGTTAGGCTCTGGACCCATTCTTGGAGAAGAGAGCTGACTCCAAGGAGAGGAAACAGAAATACTCAGGCTAGAAGCTCAGGTCATTTCCTTGATGCCATCATGCCCTCTCCATGCCTTGAAGCAAACGACTGGCCAGATTTTGTATCTTGATATGCCAGAACAGGCAGAGAGAGGACAAAGGGCTGACACAGAGTGGGCATAAGGTCTCTGGAATCGACCCCTAGTTTTACTGTGTGTGTTGATCTACCCAAGGAAGGGTAGCAATCCCTGGGGCTGTGGGTCCTCATCTCCCCAGATACCCACCTGGGTAATATCGGGTGACCCCTGTGGCACTACCGAAAACCTGCCACAGCAGCGATGGGTCCTCCTTACGGTTCTCCACAAATACATCTTCCAGGGCTTCTGTCCAGTTGAGTTCATTCAGAATCACTGTGGCTGTGGACAGAGGAGGGAGAGGGCTGTGGGCACTCTGACACCATCCCACGTAGTAGGGGTTGAGAGGTTAGAACCTGGGGGACACTGTGGGGAACAAGCAAGTCTTGGAAGATCATAGCTACCTCTTGGGTAGCCTTCCTGTCCCATGCAACCTATCCTTCAGAGTCATCTCATATAGCCATGAATCTCACCATATCACCCTCCTTCTCAAGAACCTACCAGGGCTCCCCACTGCCTACAGGACTCCCCTCAGACTCCTCAATTTGGCAGTCAAAGCCCTCCATAACGTGGTCCTGACTTACTTTCCAGTCTCTCTGATTCTACTCCCCAACACCCTCTTCACTAATCCCTATATATTCCAGACTCATTCCTACCTTTGAGACTTTGCTAATGTTCTTTTTTGCTTTTTGGAAAATTCTTCTCATATACTTCTCCCTCTCTACTCAACCCTCAGCCATCTTTCTATGAAAATCCTACTTACCCTTCAAGGCCCAGTAAAATCCCACATCTTCCAGGAAGCCTTTCCTGATTTCCCCAACCCACCATGAAATCTCCCTCCTCTGAACTCCTATGACATTTGCGATCAGAATCGCATAGGTAATTTATACCATTTGGCTGTTCTCTTCTCTGTGTGTGGGTCCACTTTCCCCTAGACTATGAGCTCTCTGAGAGTGAGACCAGGATACTCTTTCTTTCTTTTCTCCTCTCAGATTGTGAGCTCCCTGAGGACTGGGACCTGGTCTATTCCAACTCTGCAAATAAGAACATTTAGAAGCTCATCACTGCTTCCTATGAAGAGGGGGAGTCAGGGCTCAGATTATAACCAGGGTCAGGCTCATTTTGGGTTGGCTATCTGCGCTCACTTTTGGGTTGAGCTTAAGGGGTTAGTTGATAGCCAAAGTCCAGAGACTCCAGCATGTTGTAGATCAAGCAACATCTAAGACATATGACAAAGGAATTGGGGGTACCTATTCCCTTTAGGATTGTCCCCTTGAGCCTTCTTGCCCCACTGAGCCTGTCCCAGAGAAGAATGGGTCTAGCTCCAGGGAGTTCACCCTACTCAATATGCACTGTAGGCCACTGGCCTGGCATGAAAGCAATTAAGGGTCTGCTGCTGGCACTGGAATTATTCAGCTATTAAGGCAGCTGATAAGCTGGAAGCCATTGGGCTCCATGATTAATCAGCTAGGGCTGGGAGCATTGGGTGAGGAGGAGGGGATGGGAGTAGGGTCATGACTTCCGGGGGGGTGCTGAACCGGGGCTGGAGCTGAGGGAGGGGGGCCCTGGATCTTAAATGAATTCAAGAGTAGTCACATGGGTGTACATACACCTACTCTGGTCACAGATGGGTTCACATAGATATACATGTCCAAGTATACCCACACCCACACACATACACCCCATCTCCAGTGACATGGATGTATGTGTATCCACAACCTCAGATGGACAATTGGACAATGATGTCTGTGGTAAGAATCATCTCATGTCTCTATAACACAAAGACTTCACTGTTCAAAAAGCCCTTTCACATTCACTCTTTTATTGTCTCTTCCCCATGAGAGGAGCAGAGCAGGGATTACTATCCCTTTCTTATGGATGAAGAAACTGAGGCTTAGAAATGGGAAATGACTTACCCAGTGAGTCTGTGGGATGACAGGAATCAAAGGACAGGATTCTTTCCATTGCATCATGCAAATATGTTTAGCCACAGATGCGCATACAAACCCACACATGTTAGACATGTAGACAGTAAGGGAGAAAATGTGTTCGTTGATCCCAGGCCCTGGTCTCAGACTGAGCCTGGCCATGGTCATAAACTGTCTCCTGAACCTCATTTTAGACTAAACTGTGAACTTGTCACAGCTTGAGCCATGAATCCCAAAGTAAAGGTAGAACGTATCCCATTGGAGATAAAGAATTCCTCTCTTGCCAAGCAGATCTCATGTTCAGTCCCTCCACCTATCCCATCAGGACCAGGAGGGGGAACACACACATACCCAAGACCATAGATTCAGAGATGAAGGAAACTTAGTCGCCCAGTCCTAGGATCATAGGGGGTCTCCAGTCCAAACCTTACATTTTACAGATGGAAAAACTGAGTCCCAGAGAGTGTAATGACTCGCCCAGAATCACACAGGCAGTAGCTAGCAGAGTGAGGATTTGAACCCAGGTTCTTTGACTCCAAATTTAATGCTCTTTCCACAATACCACACTGCTTCATGTATAAGCCCACACCCATACAACCAGATCATGCAGCATTTTTGCTCGTGAAATCCTCTGGCTGATCAAAACCTTTAAATCAGTATGAGCCCTGCCTTTGGGATCAGTTCCACACAACCACACATGGACTGGAACCATTAATGTAATTTTACCCTACAGTGTCTGTGGTAGCACAGAGACCAAGGCATTCTAGGTACTTTTCTGATCTTCTCATTCAGAAACAAACCTCTAAAAGTTTCAATCTTTTTTAAAAAAATCTACTTATTTATTTTTTTCTGGCTAAGCAATGGGGTTAAGTGACTTGCCCAGAGTCACACAGCTAGTAAGTGTTATGTGTCTGAGGTCACATTTGAACTCAGGTCCTCCTGAATCCAGGGCCAGTGCTCTATCCACTGCACCACCTAGCTGCCCCTAAAAGTTTCAATCTTTAGAACAGTTGAAGAGCTTTGATCAATAATTAACTAGCTTCATAGATCATTAGAACTTGCTGGGACCTTAAAACATACCTAGCCTAACTTGGCCTTTTCATTTGATAATTGAGGAAACTGAAGCCCAGAGCAGAAAAAGACTTTGCCCCAGGTCATCTATATGGTCAGTGTATATTTTGTTATTTGATGTGCTCCCTGGACATATGACAAAGGAATTGGGGGTACCTATTCCCTTTAGGATTGTCCCCTTGAGCCTTCTTGCCCCACTGAGCCTGTCCCAGAGAAGAATGTGTCTAGCTCCAGGGAGTTCACCCTACTCTCTCTTCTTAATTTAGAGAGTATTTAAAAAAATTCTCTTTAAGGAGAAAAAAAAACCAAACCTAGGTTAAGTTGCATTTAATTTGGAGTCGTCTGAGGATTCTCCCTGTGGGTCAGTGACTGTCCAGAGGAAAATGTTGGGCCACTTAGTTTTACTACTTCAGGTTCGACAGCTGTCACCTACACACCCTCCATGCCAATACCGCCCCTCTCCCCACAGCCATACATTTGGACATACAATAGTACACCTGCAGTAGACAACATTGAAGACTCTGGCAAAGATCCTTGCTGACATGCATATGCTTACAAATGCTCAATCTCACACAATGACACATGCAGGCTTACACCCCCTGAAGCCTGGAACACACACACACACACACACACACACACACACACACACACACACACACACACACCACACTACACACACCTCCCCCTACCAAGAAGCTTGTCAACTTCTGTGATCTCCCTACTCCTGCCTGAGCTGACTTTCTTCTTCACCCCACCTGCCTCCTCACCAGATCCCAAGTGTACAAACACATACCCACATATAGGCACCCTGAGTTAGGAAATGGGGGACCACCCCCACCTGAGGCAAGTGATTACAGATTTAATTACAAGTGACACAGTAAATAAAAAAAAAACTATCAAATGTAATTTGTGTGGGTAGTGAGGGGTGACTGGGGAGGGCGGGGCAGCCAATGTTTTAATTAGTGTGGCTGCCTTAGATAGTGCCCCTCTGCTGGCGCAGCCCCCAGGGAGGCAGGACCCAGGGGATTAAAATGACTCAGCTTCATCTTTCCCTGGGGGAGCTAGGTGTCCCTGCTTCCAAGCCTCCACATTGCCTGGGATGCCTCCTTCTCTCTCTGTCTCTGTCTCTGTCTCTCTGTCTCTCTCTCTGTCTCTGTCTCTCTTTCTCTGTCTCTCATTCTGTGTGTGTGTGTGTGTGTGTGTGTGTGTGTGCGCGCGTGCGGGCGCAATCTAATCTCTTTCCCCACATCCAATTCACACACTCAGTGTCTCTCCCTCTCTTTTCTTTTTATTCTCCTTCTCCTTCTAACTCTAACTTCTCCCTCCTTTGGTCCCATTCCTTCCTCTTTCCTTCTGTCCCTCCTTGATTTAAAAAGAGGTCTATTTTTCTACCTTTTCCAGATCAGAGGTCAGGAGCCCAAGCATCTCCCAGGGGTGTTCTTATGTTCTATCCAGACTCTCCGTTCAGTTTGGCCTCCCCCTCAGCCCCAGCTAGGGTCCAGCTCCCCAAACCTAACATTTTTCCTGGAGGGGGCTGATAAGAGGGAGTAGATGGCACAAGGATAGACTTGGACAGGAGTGTATCTGCAGGGGCATTTTCTCCCATCCTTGTGCTTCTAGCTTCAGAGTCCCTATCTTTGCAGCTGAGCTCAGAACATAGATTATAGAACACAGGGTCACAGACCATAGCTCAGTTGGTTCTTCAGAGCAGGAGACTGGGAATTTGTCATCTTTGGTTATGCCCTAGCTCAAGCAAAGGAACAGTTTAGAGCTAGAGAAGGGTAGAAAGGCTCTCTTGGGAGAGAAAGAAATGTTTGGGAAGAGCTGTATCCTGGGACTCTGTGTCTGTGTATCTGAACGTGTGTGCATGCTGGAAAGAAGGAGGCACCAGTAGGAGGCTGTGTGAATGCTCAACCCACACATGTATGAGGATGTGAGTGTACATATGCATGTGAGTGCATGAGAGAATGCTAGTGTGGGGCCCTTGGGTACATACTAGCATGACCGTGTATGCATGAAAATGTATAAGCACTGACCATTTCTTTATGTGTAAGTAAATGTATGATTATGGGTGTGTATCTAGGTGACTGTGTTTGTGATTCTGCATATGTGTATGAACGAGATATTATTTATGTATTGGTTACCATATGCATGAGCACAAAGAGTGACTATATATACATATGAGATCTGTGTGCGTAAATATGGATGCTGTTATTTTTAGCCATTTTTCAATCTTGTCTGACTCTTTGTGACTCCTTTTGGGGTTTTCTTGGCAAAGATACTGGAGTGGTTTGTCATTTCCATCTCCAGCTCATTTTACAGATGAGGAAACTGAGGCAGACAGGGTTAAGTGACTAGCCCAGGGTCATATAGCTAGTAACTGTCTGAGGCTAGATTTGAATGGCTAGTCTTTCTGACTCCAGGCCCAGCTCTCTATCCACTGTGCCACCTAGCTGCCCCAAATATGGATAATAATGATAGCATTTATCCAGTTCTTTAAGGTTTGCAAAGCTCTTTATATGTATCATTTTGTTTGAGCTCATTGGCCAATCATCAAGTCCCAAGGTGAATATCTCAGGGCCAGGAAAGGCCAGGAGCTTGGGGCACATGGAAGGGTGGCCAGGAACCATGAGCTCTAATCTAATATTCAGGTTCATTCTACAAGTGTGGATCCTACAGGAGCAGGGTTGATGTGCTCTCAGTGGACACAGCCTTGGCAGATGAAGTAAGTTTCTTTCCCCTCCTCCCCATGGCAGGCTCAGAGTGCTCTGGGGCTCTGGATCCTTACTGTCCTGAGCCCAGGCTTCTTGGAAGGCAATGTGGCATAATGGAAAAAGCATTGGATTTAGAGACAAAGGATCTGGGTTCAAATCCTAGTTTGCCTGCTTGTTACCCGTGTGATCCTAGGCAAATCAATTTACCTTTATGGGCCTCAATTTTCCATCTGTAAGATAAAGGGATTAGACTATATGACTTCTATTGTTCCCTTCATCTTTGATCTAGGAGCCTGGATTTATATTCACATTAATATAAATTTATATATATATATATATATATAAATTATAAATTTATAAATATAAATATATTTATATACATGGTGCTCTCAGTTGGGAGGTTTGGGGTCTGGCTGGATAGGACGGGAAGGGAGACCAAGGGGGCACTCACAGCCTTTGTAGATGTCCGTAGGGATCTGAACAGCCGTGTATGAGTAGTTGACCTTGTTTTTAAAGTTTGGGTCCTCAACGAAGTCCAGCTGCAGGGTACTGGGCTTCTCCCTCTCAAACTCCTCACCCTCGGGGTCCTCCTGAGAGAGAAAGAGAGAGAGAGAAAAGGGAAGACAGGCAGTGTCAGAGATGGTGAGGAGAGGAAGAATGAGGAAGAAAGAAGAGAGATAGACAGGGAGAAAGGGGCAGACAGAGCAATCTTAGTACAGTAGAAAGAAAGAACACTGAATTTAGATGACAGAAAGTCTTGAATTTGAATCCCAGCTCAGCCACTTTCTACCTGTGGACCTCGGGCAAAGCATTTAACCTGTTAGCTTCATTATTTAGAATATGAGCTGGGTGCAGAGATTCAAACAACAACCCAATTCAATGAACATCCATTTCTACTCTGTGCAAGGCCCTGTCCTTGGTGCTGGGGATACAGAGATGAGCACTGGATGTAGGTCTTTGAAGAGTTTATAATCTAATTGCAGGGGTGGGTGGGATGTGGGGGAGGAATTACATGTACATGATTACATGTACAGAAATAAGTGTGATCCAAGGAATAACTTGATAACCAAGGCAGCCATCTTCCTTAGCAAAAGGAACTTCAATGTTTCCTGTCAGTACAGAAACCAGTCCTATGGTGACAGCTTCAATTGCCCCTTCTAACTCTAAAACCTGTAACTCTGAAGAGGAAGAGACAGAATGAGACAGAGAGAGAAAGAGAAAGACAGAATCAGAGCTATAGAGACAAAGAGAAAGACAGAGATCTATTGAGAGAAATGGAGAGATAGAGACAAAGGAAATGATGGAGACAGAGATAAAGACAAATAGATATATAGTTGGGGGGACACCTATGTTTCCACACTTTAAAATGACAGGGTTAGATATAATGACCCTTAACATTTCTGCCAGCTCTGAAATTCTGTGATTTTTTTGGGGGGAAGGGGGAGGGAAAAAGTAAGAGAAAGGGACATAGAGAATGAGAAAAATGTGACATCCCAGGAAAGGGGCTGCTGTTGTCATTGTCACCTGCCATCTAATCTCCTGGAACCCCCTTCTCCTCCACCCCCACTGAGTAGAGTGCATAGATATATATTTATACACACACACACACACACACACACACACACACACACACGTATATTCCTTTCTCAGTCTCTGATGTGGGTGGGGGCAAGAAAAGGAAGGAGAAGAGAGCTAACCCTTCTTCCCATTAATGCTTCTCCAGTATTCTCCCCCCATCCCATAGACGGTTTAGAGCAAGGCTCACGGCAACCAACCATAACCTAGAGATGGCCTGGAAGCCACCTCGAGGGCTGGGAAAGTCTTTGAGAGGTAATTCTGTCCACGTACTACACTGGCTACATCCTCTGTAGAGTGCTTTCCTCTCCCCTGGCCTGAGTTTTGTGTGTGTATGTGGGGGTGTTGAGGCTCCTCATGGTCCCAGCTGGGATGTCTCAACTAGCACCTTATCAAATCTGAGAAAATCTCCAACCCAGTAAAAAAAAAAAAGGAAAAAGAAAATAGAACAACCTCCCCAAATCCTTGAAAATCAATTAGCAGCAAAAGGCAAGTCTCAGAGACCGAATTAAAAGGGAGATCGGCTTAGTGCTCTGTCAATAAGGACGCAGGCGACATTTAATTACACAACCTGATCAGCAAACTCAGGCAGAGCTTGCTTGGCTCCACACTCCCCAAATCCCCTCCATCTCCCCTCCCCCGCTGTGGTTTCCCAGGCAACAAAGAGTACCATCCTGCAGAGTCTGGGGCCCAGGTCCTAGTGCCTTGACCTCCACCTCTGGGGAAAGGGGCCCCAGTGACTGTCACCCCTCTTCACCTATGCCTGGAGCTGCTTGGTGGCACACATGGTCTTTCTGGACTCAGGGGGTTGGGCTGGGAGGGAGGGAATAGGCAGGTCTAGTGGGTATTTATAGGAGCCATAGTCTGGAGAGGGGCTGCAGTTCCCACCAGGCACAGGGGTGGGGGAAGGGCTTGAAAGGCTCCAGTTGACTTTCTAAAAACAGCGGCCGCCTGCCCCTGACAGGTGCCAATTATGGCGTTTCATGGGCATGGGCACGCACTGCAGAGCCAGCCACCCACTTCTGTGCCTCCTGGCTCAGCTGGCAGGAGCCAGTGTTCTAATTGGTGCATGGTGATGAGTGTGTGCGTGTGTGCGTGTGTGTGTGTGTGTGCGTGTGTGCGTGTGTGTGTGTGTGTGTGTGTGTGTGTGTGTGTGTGTGTGTGTAAGATAGCCCATCACTGGTGCAGGTGTATAACAGAAACAGGAGACACGGACAGAGACAGACAAATTGAGAAAGAAAGGGAGTTGAGAAGAAATAAAGGCAGAGACACAGGCAGACAGAGATAGAGGAAAAGAGACAGAGAAAGAGAGAGACAGTTAAGAGCCATAGAAAGAGGCTGAGGGCATGAAACCGGCCCTTGTTAGAGAAGCTAAGAGCCTCCTCAGGAGTCACGTCTCAAACGGTGGGGCTGAGCCACACTGACCCATGCACACTTTCTGCCTTGGTTCATGAAGAGTTAGGTCTTTCCCATCTCACTTTTCAACCTGATCTCCTACTGTTCCCCTTCACAAACTCCATGCCCCACTTAGACTGGGTGACTCAACATTTCCCGTGATCTGCACCCCAGGTTACAGAACCACAGGGATTACACAAAGGTTAGGCTGCATAAATCTGAAGTTCCACCTCTAAATCATACCCATCTAGTTTAATTCCTCATTTTACAGACTGGGAAACCAAGGCCCAGAGGAAGGCGGTATGGTATAGCCAAAGAGGGGTGCATCTAGAGTCATAGTTACTGGGTTTGAATCCTGGAGTTGCCTACTTATTATCCGCATTATTATTAATTAATAATTAATAGATAATTATTAATAACGATTATGGGTATTTACATAATGCCTGAAGGTTGGTAACATATTTTACATACATTATCTCATTCCATCCTCACAATACTCCTGTGAGGTAAATGCTATGGGCATTATTATCATCATTTTACAAATGAGGAAACTAAGGCTGAGAAGCTGAAGTGACTTGACCAGGGTCACACAGTTAGCACATGTCTGAGGTAGTACTGAAACCCAAGTCTTCCTGACTCGAAGGTCAGTTTCTCCATGCATAGAGTGAGACAGTATACTAGATGCCTTTTAAATTCCTTTCCAGGTCTGGATTCTTAGCATCTTAGAGACTTTCTCAAGGACACACAGTGAGAGTAGGGGTCCTCTGATGACAGAGGTATGTATGGAAGGGGAGGGGGAGGTTCTGTCTTTGATTCTAGGTGCCAAAGCCGTTTCTGTCAGCATGAAGATATGGCCTTGATCTCTGGAGGGGGGTGGTCTATCTGCGCTGTCTTAGAGGGATGCTCCATCACATATTTAAGTGAATACAGAGTTGGTTACACAGAGTGTTCTTAGGGGGAAAGATGCTTTTTGGCTTGAATTAAACCTGCCTGAGGGGTGATGGTGGAGTGGGACAAGCTGGGCCTGAGCTCATGGGCCAGGCCTCACCTCCTGGGGAAGTGCTGTATTACCCACCCATCTAGGTCCATTTCTCTCTAGTAACGGCTATGTGCTTACATGCCAGGACCTGTATTCTGCTATGGTTCTCTAGCTACCTCTTATCACCGGTGGGTATGGGCACAGAGCACAGATACGTGCCTTTGGGCCCAGACAGCCATAAGCACATACACACAGGCCTGTCGGGCCCTTGAAATCCCCAGGTGACAGCAAAAGCCAGGAAAATGGGCTTTGAGGAGCCGTCTGGCCTCCAGATAGCAGGTGATGGGTTCTGAGCTGTCACTGAAGATGTTTAAATCTGAAGAGGCATAGAGGGTGGTGGTGGTTGGTGAGGGGACAAGAAAACCCCTCAAATGTCAGTGGTAGATGAAGGGCGCTGGAAATTTTAATCTCCCAACTTTTTAGGCGAATGTGACATTTGGATCCCTCGCAGATAAGCTATCAGCTGGAGAACTTTCTCCTTTCTTCTTCTTTCCCCTCCCAACCCCCACCTCCTGTCTGGTAATTTAAAAATAAATGGTCTAGAAAAAGCTCTAAACAGTTACCTTTGGCAAAGATTAAGAAAATAAGCAGCCCACTATTGCTGTGGTTTTTATTTATAATAGGATGATTGCCAAGCTGGTGACTGCAGTGGGGGCTGCCTCTTCCATGCTGCCCTCTGGGCTTGTGCTGACCATATGCTTCCCCAGGAGGACAAGCCAGGGTCCATTATCCAGGAGCTCAGGCTCTGGCCCCTCTCTGTGTAAGTGATGAGTGCCGGGTGTGTGGGGACGGGACAGGGAGACGCGACAGGGAGACGCTGAAGCAGAAGGAAGGGGGCTGGGCCTGTCCGAGGCTGACAAGGCTAGGGAGGCCTCCGTCACTCAGCTAGCTCTGGCCTGTGTCCCGGGGGTGGGGGTGGGGGACCAGAAGAATCAGGATGAAATAAAGCTCCCTGGTTTATATTTAATGCACTGATTGCTAAAATTATAGCATGGAGCTGCTGGGAGGGGGGTAAGGAATTAGAGTCAGTGTCTAATTAAAGGTTCACTCCTCATTTGAATTTCAGATTCTAGCTTTAATTTTAGTAACTTCTCTGGGAGCAGTAAAGACTCAGCCAAGGGGAAGCACACCTGCTGTATGACCACCCACTCTTTTCTCTGCCCCTTGGCCTCCTCTTCTTCCTCCCCCAGCTTCATTCTTATCTTGCAGAACAGCCCCCCTCCCCCATGTTCACCAATGCTCTTGGGAGCCTTCCTGTCGCAGACGGAAATGGAAAAACTGACCTTTCTCCTTCCCCCCTTCCCTTTTTTATGCTTCAAAGATTTGTTGGAATTCTACCTCTTCCAGGAAGCCCTCCCAGATTGATCAGAAGATCAATCTTCTTTGGGGTAAACCTGGTCTGGATATCAGAGTGCTTCTGGTTGTCTCCTCTATGCCCTATGAATGTATTCACTGAATGACTGATTACTATCAGGGCATGGAGAACAACTTACAAATTATGCTTCTGTTTAAGCTTCTATTTGCTTAAAGGGGAAGAAAGTTGCTCAAGATTACATAGTGGATCAGTTGCAGAACTGTCAATGAAACTGGGGTCTTCTGACTCCTGGGCCAGGGATATTTCCACCAGACTGCACCATCTCTTCTTCTCTAGTGGATGCTGGCCAGGGTTATTCTGCAGCTGGGATACATGAAGAGACATTGCCTGTGTGTTGTTCTGGGTTGTGTTGGGGCAGGAAGAGAATGGGGTCTTTAATGGTAGAGACTGGATTTCAAGGTGATTCGGAGTAGAGAAATACTCACCAGCTCAGCGTCTGCTTTGGAGTCATAGTACTGGATATCTTCTTCCTGGAAGGGGAAAGAGACATGGCCCCATCAGAACTCTGCAAAAAATGTTTTAGCCTTCCAAGTTTTCCCCTTCCTTCTCCTCCATCTTGGTCTCTCAGAAGCAGCTCTGACAGCCTGTGGGAACATGGCTCACCAAGTGGTCCTCTCTGCTCTATTGTCACTAAGAATCCTTTCTCCTAGGTATATGGATGCTGCTACAGAGAACCTCTGATTGCTGGTGTGTGTGTGTGTGTGTGTGAGAGAGAGAGAGAGAGAGAGAGAGAGAGAGAGAGAGAGAGAGAGAGAAAAGAAGAAGAAGAAGAAGAAGGAGGAGGAGAAGGAGGAGGAGGAGGAGGAGGAGAGAGACTGAGAGATAGAGAAAGGAAGAGAGCAAGAGTGAGAGTGAGTGCAAGAGAGACAGAGAGAAAGAGAAACAGAGAGAGGGAGAAAGACAGAGAGAGAAAAGAAGGAAGGGGAGGAAGGAGAGGAGAGGAGAGGGAGAGAGGGAGAAAGAGAGAAAGAGCAAGCAAGGGAACAAGAAAGGGAAAGAAAGAGAGGGGAGAGGGAGGAGGAAAGAGAGGGAGAGAGAGAGAGAGAGAGATGATGAAATGCAGAGGAAACTGGGTGATTGGAGGTGCTGGTAAGACTGTCATAATTAAATTTGACATTCCATCAGGAGGGATAATTGAAGGGCACAGAATTAAAGGGAAGCGTGAGGAACTGATGGCTTTGGGCCATGGTCAGGCCCCTCCCCCTGAAACTCCAGGAAAGCCCACCCTCATCTTTTCTTCATTAGACTCCCACAGGGTGGGGCTGCTTTACGGACAATCCCCACTCTAATCCTTCCACTTCAGCCTAATTCTCCAGAGGCCAGGCCCAGGGACCTGATCTCTGCATTCTCCAAAGGTTTCTTTGGGGTTAGATAGAGTACTTTAACTCTAGGGTCCTACCAAGAGAAGGCTTTCTAGTTTCTGATGAGAAGGATGTCAGACACATCACCAAAGTCATTTACAGACCAGTTTTCTTATTGGATCTTGTCTGGCCTGGGATGGGAGAAAACCTGGCCAGAACACTGTTTCCAGAAGCTTCTAGCCCAGGACAGATTCTGCACAAGCCTTCAGCCCAAATACACAGCCATACACAGACCTAGAGGACCCTAAAGCTCCCAGCCCTGGCCAGATGCATGGATTTAGGCCCTGACATAGGATTAAGGGACTTAATGCTAAAAGAGGCTTTAGAGACCATTTAATTTAGCCCTTTCATTTTACAGATGAGGAAACTGAGGCTTAGAGAGGTTAAAGTCACAGGGTATTAAGTATCAGAGACAGGTTCCTTCTAATTATGGATTCAGTGCTTTCCACTAACTCCAATGTCTTTGGGGACAGGTGCATACAGGCCTAAGCCCTGTCCTCAGGGACAGACTCATGGACATGTTGCCTATGTCTAGGACACCCAGACAGATGGATGGGGCAGAGAGTCACCTGGGGTGCAGGTGGGAAGGCACAAAATCTATAAACCCAGATGCCCTGATGAAAGGGAAGATCTTAAATGGGCTCCAGGCTCCTACCCTGCACATTACTCTTCCCTCCCATTCTCCAGATCCCATAACCACAAGGGCTGATTTCCTCCTGCGGAACCATGGCAGGTGGCCCGTCAGCCAGCCAGTCAACAGAAACTTATCATGTGCCAAGTATTATGCTAGGTGCTGGAGATACAGAGTGAAAAAAAACCCCACCCAGCCCGAAAAACCAAGTCAAGGTCTCTCCCCTCAGAGCACTTACAATTGAACGGCTGGGATGGTTAGGAATTGAAGAGGTATAATCATGAGAACAAGGAGCGTTCTCCTGCCCAGCTGAATGTTGGTGAGGTAGGGGGCTCTGAGGAGGGCACAGACTCAGAGGCTGTCCTGAGGTGGCCAGCTGTCCAGAATGTCTTCCCTCTTTAGAAGTTTTAGAGGACCTAAATTGGCTGCTGTAGCTTGGCCCCAACCCAGTGAATGGCAGGTCTGCCATCTGGACCCAGTGTAGTCCATGGAGGTCACTGTGGCCTGGCCCGGATGCACTGTCCAGGGTTGTTGCTTCCTGAATGTGATGCAGGATGTGGCTGTCAATGTCGCCAAGACCCAGCAGCGGGCAGTGCTGGCTGCTACCTGGACCCAGTGCCACTGTGAGGTAAGATAGGACGCCAGTCATACTCTAATGATGGAGGGCACCACTATGCTGATCTAGTGCAATTATTAACACCACTTCCCATGCTCCTAGTGCCCGGACTCTGTTCCAGAGGACCCACTCATTGCTTTGTAGAATCCCTGCCAAGCTGTCCCTGCCCCCCAACCTGAGCCACAAGCCAGAAGGATGGGTCCCAGACACTCTCTCTTGTTCAGAATTCATCTTAGAGATGAAAGAAAAGATAATGGAGCTTGGGGGTAGTGATGGAAAGAGGAGGAAGGGAAAGGAAGAGGGAAGAGGAGGGAGGAAGAGAGAGAGAGAGGATGGGAAGGAGGAAGAGGGAAGAAGGAGGAGGAGGGAGGGAGGAAGAGAGAGAGGAAAAAAGAGAGAGAAAAGGAGAGAGAGAGAGAGAGAGAGAGAGAGAGAGAGAGAGAGAGAGAGAGAGAGAGAGAGAGAGAGAGAGAAAGGAAGAGGAAAAGAGAAGGGGGAAGTGAGAGAGGGAAAGGAGGGGGGAAGAGGAATGAGGAGAGAGGGAGGGAGGGAGGAAGAGAGAGAAAGAGAGAGAGAGAATGATGAATTGACTCCATATCCTCTAATATCTTTTATTAAAAGTCCAGTCATTATGGGAATGTACTTATTAATTATCTGTGATTTGTTGTGAAATGTGATAGGTTTACAACTTGAGAAGAAGGAAACACAATCATCACTCCTGCCAGAAGCTCCCTCCCCTTGTTTCTTTCGACCTAGCTCCGCCCTGTCTCCATCACTGTACAGTTAGTCCTGGGGCCTGGGTTCCCAGCCATCTGCATGCCATAATTACCTAGGCCCCCAGGAGACCCATAACACAAATGGGCTAATTTCATGTTTAATGACCTTTAATCAGGAGTGAGTGTGATGGCCTGGCCGGTGGCGAGGTGGGCACCTGGTGCTGCTAGAAGCTGCCCCAAGCCTTGTACTTTTTCTCTTATATTGTTGGGGAAAAATTTGAAATAAAAGCTGGAGGATCAGAACTAGGCCCTCCTCCTTTTTCCAGACCTGCCTGATGAATTCTTCCTCCTTCTCCTCCCATTTCCTCTTCCTCTTAGGCATTTAACATCCCTCTAGGATATTAGGGAGTGGGGTGAAAGTGGGTCCTGGCTGGGGATTCCCACTGGGGGCCTGGTGCTATCTGTGGGTTGGATGAACCAGGCCCCTCTGCCCTAGGAGGGGCAGGAGAGAAGCTGCTTTGGGACAGTTCCTGGAGATCTTCCCAGTGTCCTCACCATTATTGCCAGAGGAAACCAAGAAAGGGAATCCCCTCCTTAGGACCCCCCCCCAAGCCAACCCTTCACACACATATATATAGAATGACCCCCTATCTCCCATAATGTACATATGTGTATATACAAACACATACACAAACATAACTCTCATATACATGCACATAACCCCACATATGTGTGCCCTCATGCACACATGCACACAGCTGCACAGAGGGACTGGAAGGGGCTCCAGACCTGTGATTTCACTTCACAGGGAACCCTCAGATGAGGAGACCGTTCTACCAATGCAGGTCGGCCCCTTTCTCTGCAATTTGTAAAGAGTGGCCTGGAGCATCACAGGTAAAGTGATTTGCTCTGGGTCACTTTGCACACATTTGCATATATAGTCCCCTTCCCCTCCCCTTCCTGGCCCTCTCCCTCCTTCCTTAGGGAAGTAAGCACTCACATTCCACAGCTATCACTCATAGCACATTCTTTCCCCTTTAATCTCTGAGTGGCTTGGGGACCTCAAAGTTTGTCTCAGGGTCCCTGGGGGCCCCATCCCTAGGCCCCTCATTCCCTCTTACTTTCCAGATTCTTGGCATGGGCAGGTCTTGCTTCCCACACTATGCTCTGGGGAAACTCTGGTTCCTTGTCTTTTAAATTTGGGGAAACTGAAGTTGGGGCAGGCCAAGACCATTTCTCTCCCGCCATGCCCTGTCCCCCAATTCCTTCTCCCACTCAGCCCCTACACCTCCAGCCAGTATTCACTTTCCTAGTTCATTTTCCTTCTGCCACTCACCTTGTGCCCATTTCCCACCCGCTCAGTCAATAAACTTGTTGATTCCCAATACACTGAGGGAAGCCAGGGCAGGTTGGGGTAAACTCCCATTAAAGGACATCTGACCCAAGTACACTCTTGTGCCATGCCCTGGTAGTAGAGCAGCTGGGACCAGAGTCTGCCTGGCTTTGTGGTAGATGAGTTTATGGTGGTGGTGGTGGTGATGGGGCAGTAGCCTCGGTCAGAGGTTGTTGAGAGTGCGAGGCTACTGCTTTCCTGGGAGTGGAATGTAAGCATTCTGGGACCACAGCCAAGGACTGCTGTGGGAGCCATTGCCATAGTTTGGTATATTAGAGAGAGCGCTGATGTATGAATCTAAGGATATGATTTCTAGTCCTGACTGCTCCTCACCCTTGGTGTGAGCTGAGACCACTCCCTTCACCTGCTCCACCTCAGTTTCTTTATCAGTAAAATGAAGGAGGTGGACTAGATAATTTCTAAGGTCCTCCCTAGCTTTAACATTGTATTAAAGTGTGCATTTCTAACAAATGTTGGGGAAGAAATGGGAACCCAAGGGAGAAAAGCAATGTCTGAACAGGCTTTCTGAACCCTGGGTGTGAGTGGGGTAGTGGGAGGGAACAGCAGCTAAGTACCTTTCCCATGGTTCTCCTGGCTCTGTGCACACATGGGCTGTATGGAATGATTGCTTGGATCCAAAATGAAACTGGCTTCTCTAATCTCTAATTCCCTGTCTCTCTACTCTGGTTGCTTCCATTCTATTTTCAGAGTAGGGGTAGAGACATTTGGTCCTAGACTCAAGACATGGTTTGG